CCCCCCCCCCCCCCCCCCCCCCCCCCCCCCCCCCCCCCCCCCCCCCCGCCCCCCCCCCCCCCCCCCCCCCCCCCCCCCCCCCCCCCCCCCCCCCCCCCCCCCCCCCCCCCCCCCCCCCCCCCCCCCCCCCCCCCCCCCCCCCCCCCCCCCCCCCCCCCCCCCCCCCCCCCCCCCCCCCCCCCCCCCCCCCCCCCCCCCCCCCCCCCCCCCCCCCCCCCCCCCCCCCCCCCCCCCCCCCCCCCCCCCCCCCCCCCCCCCCCCCCCCCCCCCCCCCCCCCCCCCCCCCCCCCCCCCCCCCCCCCCCCCCCCCCCCCCCCCCCCCCCCCCCCCCCCCCCCCCCCCCCCCCCCCCCCCCCCCCCCCCCCCCCCCCCCCCCCCCCCCCCCCCCCCCCCCCCCCCCCCCCCCCCCCCCCCCCCCCCCCCCCCCCCCCCCCCCCCCCCCCCCCCCCCCCCCCCCCCCCCCCCCCCCCCACCTCCCCTCAGCCTACCGGTTATCTTATCGTGTAAATGATCCATTTGCATGCAAAGTTTTGAATTGCTGTGATGAGAGGCAATCGTTAATATACCCTATATCTCTTTATCAGGGTTAATTTCTTCTTCATCGACTCTTTGAAATGCATTGTAATTGGCTGGTATGACGTGGCAGACCAAATGTCCCGCACCCCTGCCCAAAGCGTTCATTTGTGACCGCATCATTCACGCTATAAACTAAATTCCGGCGCCATCTTTTGGGTCGTGCATACAATCCCAGCCACGATGCTGACGCGCAAACGTATGAAACGTCAATGGCTGACGCATCTGGGCCGAGGCCTGAGCCTGCCCATGCGTCAGTGCTGCGCCGCGTGGCCTGCAGAACAGGCAGCCGTCCTGACCGCCGCAGGTCGGCCATTGGCGCGCGCTGCCGGGGCCTCATTACCAGCGCCGGCTGATCCACCCCGGCAAGCAACAGCAAATCTGATCCGGAGCCGGTGCGGCCGCGGCGGTGATCGCCGCCGGCGCCGGCGCGCTCGATGAACGACCTGCCAGTGGGCCGCCCCAGCGCGCAGGCGCCGCCGCCGGCACCGACGCGTCGGCGGCAGCGGCGCCGGCAGTGTGGGCGCCATGACCCTCTGATCGCGGGCGCGTGCGGGGCGGCACGCCGGGCGGCGGCCCGTGAGCGAGCAGGCGCGCGGCGTGACATGCGAGCGGCCGCTGCCCAGCCCGCCAGTCCGATGAAGGCAAGCGTGGCCCCGCGCGCGTACCTCACCCTACCCTTGGCGCGTACGGGACATCCACTGCTGGGTGAGTGGGGAGCTGCTGGCCGCCGCCCGACGCCTCACGGCCGTGTCCAGCGCCGGGCCGGGATGTCAAGTGTCTTCCATCCCGTCGACACTAGCCTGACATCTTGTTAAGCTGGAATCGTGACCGTTCATCAGTGGCGAGCTGGGTGGTCCCCCCACGCGCAGTCCGGTTTCTTTCACCGGGGTAACATCCCACACCACGTACTCCCGTCGTGCCTGTGCCGACTCTCTGACCTTCTTTCCTGGCGTTCGTAACGGACGGGCGTGTTAGTATCTGCCATTTCGTATGAATCTGCCGGGATGTCAGATTGATAAGTGATCCAATCGAAGGAGCAGGCCAGTTGCGAGACTGCTTGTGAAGCCTCGCTTGGGCAGCAAGGAAGGTAACATCAAAGCCGTATGTCCTGAAATATCATGAAAGTGTCTCGTTCGTAAATGTCTTTATAACTTTTCATTGATTTGGCACGGAATAATGTAGGATTAGCTATAGTTACAATTTGTTACAGAAACTCGGACCGTCTTACTTCTCAATCACGCAAACACCAACAAATGGCGCCGTTTTATAAGAAACGCCACGAGTGCTATGATGTTAATACTATAATGGCTGTAGTGGCTTACAAATTTTCACAGCTCGTAACATTGCTGCGCCTTGAATAACGCACCGATGCGGGACAGGTACGGTGAACGTATAACGTTCTCTGCAGAAAAACGCCTGTCGCATACCAGCTACCAATATACACTTCGCTGGCCACAATACGTAGCACAGCCGCCTCAATTTCAGGCCTGTTGTTGGGTTTGTGTTTTTGCGCATATGATATATTGCCAGTTTAGTTCCATCACTTTTGTACTTTTTTAAATGCACCAGTGATAATTCTGTCGCGAAAAGGACCTCACTTCCTCGGTAACACTTTTGAAGCACGCAGCATAGCTTCTGGAAAGTGACGGTATGAGCATACTCGTAAGCAAATGATGAGATTGCAAACGATCGCTCGCAAAAAATGATATCCAGTTTTTTACCTCTCATTTTCGTGTCGATAAGGTGACTTAAAAAGCCGCGCGTTCCCAAAATGTCTTGTAAGGTTCCTTAAGTCAGTGGGAGGATTCTCCGGATCGAGAATGTCAACTAGCAAGTCGAATGCTCGATTCTAAACGTATTTCGTGCCGGCACCAGCCTCCAGCCAGGCACTCATTTTGCCTGAGTGATAGGCATGTAAGTTCTGCCATTAGTGGCTCGGAGCCGGCGACACGTCGTCTTCCGGCCGAGTCGTGTATAAGAAGCCTATTCACCCATGCGACCTTGACCTCTACGACATTTCCCCATGAAGGCATGTATGCAGCATGCTCTTCTGGTATACTATCTTTGCGACGTATAATTCTGGTATATTATTTTGTTTTATTGCGACACAAATCATGCGCGATCATGTTCTATGATATATGTGTACTTACTATCCTGAATCGAAACGATGTGTTGTCACTGATTTTTATCTCGAACGACCTTCGTCTCATACGATCTTTCTACATACAGCATTACGCATGCGACTTTTTACCACGCGATCTACTGGTCGTCTTGAGATGCTCTAGAGTGAAATGATACATCCTATCCCGTGGTAGTGCCGCGCATTGCCATCGAACAGTCGTGCTCCCTACGGTAAAGCTCACTTACGTCATTGCTTCAAAAGTCGGCCATAGTAATGGACTTTCATTGTCCAATCACACGGTCGATCCCATTCAAAATGAACAGGTCCCACTAACCGGGAATTGGGATTAGGTACTCGCTGTAAGGAAACCGAAAGGCTTAAAACAGCGGAACACATTGAACAAGTTGATTTTTTCAGTAGTTTATTACCACATCTTGAGCTGAGATGAGTCCCACGTGCGACAGCGGTTCGTCGGAATGTGACTGATGTGATTGAGATGACTGCTAGAAGACGTTTTAACTATGAATTAATGTACTGAACAGCTTGCAAAAAGCTTTGTTAACATGTTTGTATGAATTCTTAGTACATACTTAGCACTCTGACGATGAACATATTGTTTGCATACAGTTCCAGTGACACTCAATGGGCAAACCACATGAATCTAACCAAGAGAACCTTTGTTACATTAAACGAGACACTTGACAGTCATTCATTCAGCCCATGTCTTTAGTTCACTCAGGATCTAGGATAATACTAGGCCTGGTAATCAGCAATATGAACCGGTCGTGGGCGTTTGATTCCGGCTGCCTCATTATTGTTAAACATCGGTGCTGTGAACCAAGGTGAGCGTTGATAACAATTTCATTCAAGGTTTCTATGTCTTGGATCATGTTAAGGTGTAAAAGCCCGAAAAGTTCAGTAAGTTCTGCAATCCCGCTCTGTATGTATGGTAAGCAGGCCCTGTAAGTCCTGCATACCTATAAACAGGGATGTTACAAGGGTATAAGAATTTACTTTACCACGTCTGCGTCGGATTCTGCTGTCAACAGGTGTCTGGAGACTGTGATGATATCTAGCACCTCCCTTCATGGGTAGTTTCGGTGCAGTGCGGAACATATTTGTAAATATGAAGAGCTCTGAGGCACCAATTCCAGCCTAATTTGTACGTTGTGTAACTAAATCGTCGTATCCTATCCTTTTACCTCATAATTTGCCTCTTTTCAACGTGTTGCATTGCTACTCAACTATGTCATATACGGCACATAAGATATATCGAAATGTGTGTATTTATCCAAAGGGAATTGCCCAATCCTCCACATACTGCGTAATGCTTCACCCCTCTAAGGTATGCCAAATAGCATGGCGCGTATTAAGTGGGTGATCTTCCTTGCGTTGCAGAATCAAGGGAACCTGACTGGAGAAGTCACCACAATTCCCGGCAGAAGTCAGGTCAGCCAGGCTCGCGGCCTCTCCAAGAAGAATGGCATCATCGTCAACGAGGTATGCGTATTTGAATGCAGTAAATATGTAGTGGAATTGTTGCCATGGGACCGCAGGTTAACACGTGCTCCGGTGGGGGGCAATCCCCCCCGAACGTTTTTACTGAAAATGTTCCAAACTGCGCGGCGTAGCGCACCAAAATTTGCAAGGCTATAGACAATCAATAAAAAATTTATACGTTCCTTGTAAGGTCGCTGACCTACGGCGGTTTAAAGTCAGGCCATGAAATAAGGGAAGACATTACCTAGGGGATCGTTCATCTGATGCAGCAACGGGGTGGCAGACGAAGCCATACATCTCTGATATTGTTCCTTAGGTGACACAACAATTAAATGAACACGTTCCATTGACCTGGGGTCAGGTATGATGAAGTACAGACCAAGGTCAAAACTTACCTGCCTTATTACTTATAGCTTGCTGCGTGAGGTAGTTTCTGACGCTCATTTTGGATTTGTTGATAACAAAAACCGCATTTTACATCTTATGTAAACTTTTTAAAGTTCAGAACAGGTCATCGACCCAATATGACTCGGCCAGCGTTCTTTTTCTGGGAACATGCTGTCAAGCGTAAGCTTCGACTTTTATTCCAATGCAAAACACGAAGCAGCCTTTTCTGTTTTGGTCACCATGACTCGCAGAGGGTCAAACAAGGTTACTGACCTAACATGAGCACCAGTGACTATCTGCTTAGAGCAGGTAGCTAGGTTCTGGGGGCACGTTGGACACCAATCTGGAGTTTGTCCTTGTTTGACCTTAGTTGACCCGTGAATCATGACCAAGGAATCTCAAATTTTGGTACAAGTGAGTTCACTTGCATGTTGATACACCCTGTAAATTAGGTGCATCTACCTCTCTTAGTTTCTGAGATCTCAGGGGTCAATTTGACCCCCGTACCCGGGCGAATAGGATTCGACCAGCCGCTCGGGCGCGTGGGCGTGGGCTGAGGTGGGATGCAGTTCTGAAGCCCGCCCATTGCAGTCGCCGCCCGCCTGACCTGATATGCTGTACCGTATGTCCCGGAGACTGCCACGGGCCCCACGAGGTCTGTAAATCGTTGGCGGCAGAAACATGCTTTGACCGTTGGAATCATGATTGGTTTGAGCCCATATTAGTTTGATGTTCGTGTTTTTATGTCTTATGCAAAAGAAAGATAAGAGACAGGCGTGTAAGCGGCAAGCTGTCCATTGTCTTCCAATCGTTCATTCATCTAAAAGATGTCATTAATTTCAAAGATGAAAGACTACTGCATATTTTAGCAGGCGCCGGGTATAAATTTTCTGTGGCTGTGATGTATCCTCTTCGCCTCTGAATGGTACTAAGCACATTTTATTTAAAGGTGCTTGCTAGCTTAAGTGCCGATTGCAATATCTGAACTATTCACGGGCACTTGAAGCGACTGTCCCACCTTTGAAGTATACTTCAAAAACATGTCCTCGTAAACTATCAGAACCACTTACGTCTAATAATAGTACTGGATGGTAACACAGCAACACCATCAATGCATAATGAGGACAGCAGTTGCAATTATTGTCTAGTCCAAACTACGCTGTCTGTGCTTTGAAACAGCACTACGCTTCGTTCCTGCGTTTGTCGCTATCCCCGTCCCCATGACAACCACCGTGTCACCTTTAATATTGTCAATTTACTAGCACCTTATCTAGTGGCACTTTTACTAGTGCCAATAAAAAACGTTTGTGATTGACCCAGCGGGCGGTAAGGGCTTGTTACCGAGAAGCGCATTGGTTGAGGTCTGAGCCAACGCGTCACAACAGACCATGTGATACACCCATTCCCAAGGTTTAAGTGTGGCTCGAAAAGGGCCATCGAAGTAAGCGTCATATGGGAGAACTAAACGCCACAGTGAAACGCTTTGTTAGATTTGAGGGGTAAAGCCTAATGTTACGATATTTTTTTCTGAACAATGCTGCAAGTTTTCGTAGGATTTTCAACACAAAATTTTGACACGATAGTGTGTTGCAAACATTATAGAACACACACGCTTGAAAATTCATTCAAATGAAATGTGTTACGTTCAAGGTGGTAAACAGGCAGTCCAATGACATTTCTCCCTCAGGAGCGGACACTTCGAATAAAAGTTCGAAGCTTTTCAGAAGGATTTCGGAAGCTGGCATTGCTCATCAAGCTGTACGCCTCTGACCTACCAATAAGCAGACAGTACAAAAAGGCGGCATACTCCCTTTAAAACGAGACGATTAAACACGTGAAAAAGCTTGTGCACTCAGACCACTTGGCCGTGTCGTTCCAGCGCTTGCCGGTGCTGTCCGGGAAACGTCCACAACAGAACGGAGCCGGCTCAGTGGCCGGTGGACGTGGCCTTCCGGTGATCCAAGGCCCGAGCCCGCGTGAGTCTTCGTTCACCAGCCGGACCGACGCTCACGGACGACCACTGCCGCTGAGCCCGTCAGGTGAGCAGCGCGCCCGGGTATTGGGCTGACACACACGGGCTTCTGCTGCCGCTGAGCCCGTCAGGTGAGCAGTACTCCCGCGTATTGGGCTGACACACACGGGCTTCTGCTACCGCTGAGCCCGCCAGGTGAGCAGTACGCCCGGGTATTGGGCTGACACACACGGGCTTCTCCTACCCCTGAGCCCGTCAGGTGAGCAGCACGCCCGGGTATTGGGCTGACACACACGGGCTTCTCCTACCCCTGAGCCCGTCAGGTGAGCAGTACGCCCGGGTATTGGGCTGACACACACAGGCTTCTGCTGCCGCTGAGCCCGTCAGGTGAGCAGTACGCCCGGGCTCTGGGCTGACACACACGGGCTTCTCCTACCCCTGAGCCCGTCAGGTGAGCAGCACGCCCGGGTATTGGGCTGACACACACGGGCTTCTGCTACCCCTGAGCCCGTCAGTTGAGCGGCACGCCCGGGTTCTGGGCTGACACACACGGGCTTCTCCTACCGCTGAGCCCATCAGGTGAGCAGCATGCCCGGGTTCTGGGCTGACACACACGAGCTTCTGCTGCCGCTGTTAAATCTTTCAGACGAGCTCTAGCGCTCTCAATGCTAACTTCATTGCATGGGGACTTACAAAGACCATAATTTTCCTTAGATCCACTCCATACGACGTGTTTGGCCGTACAACAATCACCTAAAGAGCGTGGCTTTAACATTTCTTGCCATTTGTGCTTTTTAATCACGTAGACTTAAAACGACAGGAGAACTTTTGCATGGTCATCTGGTCTATGCCTTAGCACTGCCTCAGTTCGAAAAGTTAACGAATATGTGAAACGGATCGTCCGGAAAGTATCATTGAGAATCAACAGACCGCACTGCACATGGCTCTCGCTGTAACAACTCACATAAGCCACTGAGCACACGCCAATCCACATCAAGCAACCCTAAGCTCCCTGTAGTGTTGCATATCGCTACTATTACACAAGGCGCACCGGGGGGGAGGGAGGGGGGGGGGGGGGCACACAGTGAAGTCCTTGGAATTCAACCGGTCACTTCCTGAGGGCATGGCGTGTACCCCCTTGGTTTTATACCGCAACTCCCACGCCAACTCTGCCAGTAACCTTACGCTTCCATTGCTCTTCAACGACCTTTACGATTCGTTATCATACGCCAGGTTGCAGACAGACTGGTCTGTTTCATATTGTTATATGTATGTGTTGTTGGCACCGCGGTGCCCTATATAATTCCGGATATGTTGTATAACCTCGTGAAGTCTTAACGGAATATCATATATATATATATATATATATATATATATATATATATATATATAAATAAACGTTTTCCCCAAAACGTTGCCTGTCGCATTGTTTGGAGATGACGTGCCACATCTTTCGCTGGGACGTGATGTGATGATAAGAACTTGTCACCACATCACAAACTTTTTTAATGATAGCGCATCATCGCCATATGCTCCTTTGAGCAATCAGTGAATCCGAACAGTGTTACCTCTGGTAGATTTCACGCCCTGGTCACTTCACGCTCATGTGCTTCCTTCTGTCTCGCTCCAAAGCAGGCGGCGTAAAAGGCCAGAGTGAATTGACGGCTTGACTCGCATGCATGTTACGTATTTTACAACCTCATAAGAACAAGTAATGAGATTGTCAAACCACGGTTAAAACTTCCGAGGGAAAATAAGCTCTGGGTAGTTCGAGCTCGAGAGTCGAGCGGAGCCGTAAACAGGTGAGGGAGTTGGTTTTGTCGGCGCGGTGAGCACGGTCCCGAGCGCTCTAAGACCGCTCTTCTAAGTTCTTGCACATGAAGAGTCTGTGGAAATATTGATTTGGAATGTTTGTCTTATTATGAAAACTGATGTTTTGCGAACTTTACCTTCTGTTTAAGCTACTAACACTTTGAACTATTCATGTGGTGTGTAGTACACTTCCATTGAGTGTTTCAATTTTCAACATGTGGTTGACCATTCATCTCAATGTTATATAAATATCCGTCTATCCAGTTCACTCTCGTTCCTTACCCTGGAAAAAAGGTAATTCACCCTCTCAACTTTACTGTAACAAATTACTATCCATACGCAAACTACCACAACAAAACCAATGAACAACAAATGCAAAGCAACGAGGCCAAGTCAACGTTACAAAGAACTTGGTGGGGCTTGGAAACCTTCATCAAGGTATAGCATGAAGAAAAACTGGTACTTAGATAGAATTATTTTGCCCCTTAAATCCCCGAAAAAAATTGCGTAAGGCAAGTAATGGAATCATGTTCAACGAGCTGCGATTAACTTCTTAACATGCGCTCGGATGGGGGTCAAATCGACCCCACAAATTATTTTTTTTTCAGAACGGTTTCCGAATGGCGCGGCGCGGGCGCACCAAATTGTGCGTAGCTGTAGAAAATTGAATAGCGGATCGTTTGACATGAGAAATTTAGATGTATCCTGTAAGGTCGCTGACCTACGGCAAGTCAAAACCAGCCCATGGTTTCAGCAAAGGCAATTTCTAGGGAATTTTTCAACCTGATGCAATAACGGAGTGTTTGACGAAGCCATACATCTCTGAGATGCTTTCTTACTCAACACAAATATTGAATGAGAAAATTACTTTGACCTAAGGTCAGGTACAAAGGTCAGACCGAGGTCAGAACCAACCTGCTTTATTACTGTAGGGCTTGTTGTATGGGATAATTTATGGTGCTCATTTCCAATTGATTGATAACAGGAACCGCACTATAATCTTCCATGGACTTCTTAGAGATCAGAATAGGTCGTGGATCTAAAATGACTCAGGTCAGCATTTTTTTTTTGTTTTGTTTAGGAACAGACCGCCTGACGTAATTTTTGTCGCTTATCCAAATGCAAAACCCAGAGTAGTCTTGTATGATTTTGGTCACCATGACCTTCAAAAAAGTCAAACAAGGTCACTGACCTTACCTGAGCTTGTGACTTTTTGCCTACAAACAATTATTTAGGTTCTGAGGGCACTATGGAGACCAGCCTGAAATTTGACCTTGTTTGACTTTATTTGACCCGAAGGACATGACCTAGGAAGCTCAAACTTTGATTTAAGAGATTTCACGTGCAGGGCAATACGTCTTGTGAATTTGGTGTCTCTAACTCTCTTAGTTTCAGAGATCTCAGGGGGGTCATATTGACCCCCGAGCGAAGGGTTTCTAGCCAGCCACCCGGGCGCGTGTTAAGGTGACCAATTTAGTAAACAAGCCGAAATAAATGGTCTAATTTTTAGCAGCTCACCTCTGGTTCAATTGATAAATTTTACTGAAAAGTAGCGCTTGAAATCCTGGAGATTGTTGAGTGGAATAAAGCCAAGCTTTGGATGCATATATTAAGCTACTAGGTGCGGGTTTTGGTAAACGCAATTTAAATTGGCCTCTGTGTATGCTTAATTTGATAATTTCTCGACTTTACGACGCGTTGGTTCTTGAAGCACGATCATGTTATCATTTGCCACAAGAATACATTCCATCTCTTGACCTAGTATGACTTTACAAGTGCGTATGATTTAAATTTCGTCATTTCAGTATGTTTAAATTGGCAAACAGCTACAAGATAGGTGTATCTTTCTCATTACGTATCCTCCTCATAAACTTATGAAATGCCTGTAAACGTGTGAGTACAGTTTTCACGCTTTCGATTTGTCCTGTCATTTGCCTTGCTTCATTCCTATAACCCGGATAAATGTACATATATTTAGATATGTATAACCTGGAAGAAGTTTCGTAAATTGCCGTTTTAAATAGCGTTGGGCACGGCCCGCAGGTCAGCAATCACCTGCAGGTTAGCAAATTAGCATGTCCGTGCGTGGGTCGTACAATCCACGGGCATATTTTGCAGTGTGATTCTAACCGATTGGTTGAATTATTCCGGCGACATTCAAAGGGAGCGTTCAGCAAATGCAAAGAAACGAATTCCTTAGCACCTGGGCGTTACCATCAGACCTGCGGGAAGACGAGCTTCAACCCTAGGACTCCCTTGGTTCTTGGCGGAGCCGCTGCATCCTACGAACCCCGCTGACATTAAGTATCTTCTTCGAACACCGAGGATGCATGCGCCAGGCCGAGCCAGATCACAGAGCTGATAGTTCGCGTCGATGCGTGAGCGGTGAGATCCTCAGTTAACAGCGAGGTGGTGTTGCAGGCTCTGACTCGCCCCCCCCCCCCCCTCCCCCTCCCCTTCTTCCCGCCCCCGGGCTCGGGTGTCGCCTGGCGACTGGTGCAGCTCGTTAGCCTGGCGACAGATTGGAAGTGCGTTGATTCTAGAGGCGGTCCGCTGCTCAGGAACGTGCCCAGCGCGTCACTGCACCCGTCGATGTCGTCACCGCGCAGACCTCGGCTAGCGGCCAGACACGAGTCTGTTAACCGGTGACCGAAGGTCACTGAGATTGGAAGGCCCGTCACCGCGCAGACCTCGGATCGCGGCTGAATACGGATCTGTTAACCGGTGACCGAAGGTCACTGAGATTGGAGGATCATATCGGACCCATCACATTGGGGAGATTTGCGTGGCAAAAGACGATAGATAATGCCGGGTGTCTCTGTCTCTCGGGAACAGTATGCTAGGTGACTGTCTGAGGCCAGAAGGCTCTGGCTATACCAGTCGCATGGTTGTAAATTGACCGACCGTCACGTCGCTCAGTTGGTAGGGTTTGTGACATTCCATAGTCCGGTAGTTAGTTATTGAGTTTTAGGGGCGTGTCAGGTGCGTTAGTTATTTGTGCCAACCACATGCGGATGCTATCCATTTCACTAGAGAACTTTGACGTTTCTTATTGTATATCATATTTCAGACAACTGCTCTACTCACACATACTTAAGTCATATTTCAAATCATGTGCAATATAGCAAGCATCGAAAACTGTCCAGTGCTTGATGTGTCATGATGCCCGCTGCCCCAAAATATGACAGTATTTAAGGTCGCAAACTATCCTTACCAGTGATAGCAATGCATTACATCACAGGTACGTTTGGTGTAGCAGTCTGTTGGAGTCCCACACTCACTGCTGTTATTTTTTTCTGACCGGTTGCCCGAGGCCCGAACAGATAGATGGAAATCGTTCGGGGAAGGAAGGGGTGCGGACTGCGCGATCCCGGCGCACGAGACCATCTGTTGCTCCTGACCCGGCTGCATGTGGCTGGTCCCACATTGGTATTACTTATTATTGTAGCCAGACCGGCATTGGTATACATGCTTATTGTAGCCAGACCGGCTAACGGTCCTCAGCAAACAACCCGTCAAATTAGCATCATTAGTAAGTGTGCGGCTAACCATTGCGCACATGCTTTCTATCTCTCATCTCCTCTCTTCACCGATACTCTCCTTCTCTCCTCCCCTTTCTCTTTACTTTTCTCTTTCTGCTCCTGCTCACTCTTTATCTTTTGCTCTGTCGCATTCGCTTTGTTTCTTTCCCTCTGTCTCTATTTTACTGGGGACATCAGCGTCGTAACGAAATTTATTGCATGGTTTAATCTCTTGTGCGATACCCTCAGCCTCGTAGTGTAAACTTCCATATGATGTTGGACAGCAGGCGGAGCCTGTCTATCAAGCCAAAGTGTCTGTTGTCGGCAGGACTGATTTACGACATTTATATGGTTGGGTGATTGGGTGAATCGACCATCCCGGCCGTCATCCGAGTCTCGAGCGCACGACCTTTGGGATCCGGCCCGTTGTTTCGAGCGCACGACCCGTGGGACCCGGCCCTTTGTTCTGAGCGCACGACCAGTGGGACCCGGCCCGTCGTTTTGAGCGCACGACCTGTGGGACTCGGCCCGTTGTTTCTAGCGCGCGACCTGTGGGACCCACCCGTCGCGCTAACGCCAGCTGTGCTCTACAGACGCCACCCGCTACTACGGCTCGTACATGTCCGAGTACGAGCTGGCCGAGGTCGAACAGTACGAAGAGGTCTGGTTCCTCGGCCTGGACGCCAATAAGCTGCCCGGCGACGAAGCGCGCCAGCAGAACGGGGGCTTCGACGACGAACACGGCAGCTACATCAAGGTATGTCTCGCGGTCGTCGTACAAGCCGGCCACTTGTTGCTTGCAGTATACGCGGACTGAATGCGAACTGGTCACCGCTGTACGTTTCTAGACGTTGACAGGTAGTACTTTTGGTACGCAACGGAGCGCGTTGTTACCACCGAATATTGTGGGTCGGGTAGCGGTCAAGGCGTTGGTGATGACTGAATGCGATGCGGTGGGGCTGGAGGCTGGATGAGCTGCGAAAAACTTGCGTCTTTTACGATGCCACATGCTAGCATTTTCTCCTGGGCGACTCCCTGCGCGCCTCAGACAGAAATACACCGTCGCAGAGTCCCGGGTGAGTGCGGGGCGGTCGTTGCCGCACCACCTGCAATTGGCACGCGTTACCTCACGCCACCACTGACACACCATTTGCGTCCAACCGGACCGGAAGCTCTGCCAGGTGACAATGCAACAAAGCATCTGCTAGTCCGTTTCCACTGCCAGCCGGCATAGCTGTGAGAAAGAGGACGTCTGGCTGTGAGCCACCTATAGCACCGGCACGTGGCTCATTAGCGGCGGGGCGCCATAGTTCTCTGTGCGGAAATCGTTGTTGGCTTCTGAATTTTGCGCTCGCTATGCTGCTTCAGGCCGAACCTCATACGCCGTCTTCAACAGCGCCAACGGTACCTTTCGGTTCGCCGTATCTAGACCATGTGCTATGGATGCTGCATTGCATCTCTGTACCAGCTTCCCACGGAATTTTCCAGAAAATTGCAGCGTGAATATCTTCGAGAAAACTGTTAAAAAACGGTATCACATTACCCCGGTAAGTGGATCACAGTGTTCTGTTTTCTGCGAATTATGCCAGATGATATGTATCAGATCCTGGTATAACTCGTATTACTTTCATCTTCGCTGGACGCAGAAAGAAGTCCTGCTATCGGGGCGATTAACACGCTAGCACCACGCAGAAATGAGATGCGAGCGTTCACGCATTAAGATTTCGCGAGTGTTAAGGCAGCGCTAATTAATATAGGACGGCGCCGGGCGTGTGTTTGATGAAGTCGTGATGCAGCACAGCCAGCAAATGGTACGTCAGATGATGAAAGTTGTGCCTGGACATTGCTTACCTCCAGACATGCAGGATATTTGCACTGCAACGCAAATTCGGAATATTAGCCGCTGTCCTAGCCCGTTCACATTTCCGTTCGGGTCTCGTGAGATCTTCGGTTCCAGATGGTGCTGAATCGTACCGAATCGAGCTCCTGTTCGGACAGCGCTGCAGAATACGTATCTCATAACGAAGACATGCTTGCTGGAGGTCACTACATGCAACATTCACCACCGTCCACTGCCCATTGCTCGAGATATTTATTAGACACAATCCGACCTGGGTCGACAGATCTCGCCCATTGCTGTGCTGTACTCCGCTTTGCCCTGTGTCCGGCGCTAATATTAAATGTGCTCGGCATGCAATGCATACAGACGTCATTTAATCTACGACTTGAAGCGCGTGTAATGGTAGATCATCACACCTAACTCAATTCCTGGTTGCTTGTAAAAAAAATTACCTGGTTGCTGGTAATTTGGCGCAGAGTGAACGCGAGCGGGTGTTATCATGCTTTCTGAACCTCGCTGCGACGTATGCCAGGTGCTGCTGTTTCTCATGCCGGTGGGGCCAAGTAAACGGCATGAGTGGTCACTGTCTACTTGGTCATTGCACCGCGTTGATGAAAACACCGCACCGCGCTCATGACATTGCCGCACTGTGTTAACGAGATCACCGCGCCGCGTTTGACTTCATGGTCAGACAGCTGTCATCTGATCACATGCCTTTTGTTCCCGCGCTTTAATTTTTCTCATATTTACTAGCTTCGACATACCTCCATAAGCGTAGTTGTGCTGGAGGCCTTGAGCACAGGCCCATGGTTAAGGCATCAAATCCCAAAGATGCCATCACAAGATCGCCCTGGGGACACCAGAAATTGCGTAGCCGGCAGCTGAGCGGAATGCCCACACTCAGTTGTCGGTGAGGCAGCACTCACCGGCCGACATATACCCACTGTCACCCCATCGGCCCTGAAGGATCAAACCACACACGATGCTAGCGCCGCTGCTGCTTTGTCCGATGGGTGCCGGCAGTGGCAGGGGTGTCAGAGCTTTGACACTCCGGACGAGGCGCATTTGAGCCTTCTCTTGATACTGATGTCGGCGATGCCTCCATCCTTTCGTTGCTGGTCATTGCCACTCAGGTGCGTTGCAGACAGTCGCCGTCACCCAAAAACTCCCCACTCCAGTGTAGTCCTTCGCACCGACGACCCAGCCAGTCATTTTGGCCAAACGTCAACACATGCATGAACATAGACGTGTATTTGGACTATCGGTGGCGTACTCGTGGCTTTTCAAGTCCATCATCGCAGCGCTAAAAACAGGATGTTAATGGCTACAAACACATACACATACACATACATACACAGCTCACAAACGTATACACACACATGGTTGCGTTGAGTGGTGAAACCGTGGCTTTTCAAGTCCATCGTCGCTGCGCTAAAACAGGATGTTAATGGCTACAAACACATGCACGTACACACACGCGCAGCTCACAAAAGTACACACACACATGGTTGCGCATGCGTGCATGACCCGAGCCGTTTCGTGGTCAGGGCGGCCTTTGACGCAATAAGTGGCGCTCCAGCGCACGACGAGACCTCACGGTTGGGAGCTGCGTCAGGTCACGGGAGATGAGGCTATACTGAGTGGAGGTTGAACATCACAGACGCCTCCTTCCGACGTCACCGTGTGACCTAAGAACGAAAAAATATCCACCCTGCTGTGTGTGGCAGTCTCAGATTTGAGAAAGCACCCACAGCTTACGGGCCAGCGCCTGTGTCTCACCAGAAGGAAGAATCTTTTGAAGAAGCGTCAGGCTGTGGGATTCCGCAAGGCATTCTGCTGGGAGCCAGCCGAGCTTCTCCGCCGGAGCCGAGACGGGATGAACTTTTCCGCCCAAAGATCGCTTTAACTGCAAACATGATGACTTGTGGACCCGGCGTTTTGTCTCCCGTATGATTGTCAAAGTTTTAAAAGCGGCATTTTGGATTTGCGAGAGGGCCGATGCGTTCACCAGGGTAAAGATGAAACAAGCGGGCAAATAGCTCCTCAGATGAGATAGATCAGAAAGGGCACATCAAAATCAGTAAGTGGCGAGAGATGCTGCTCAGCTGAGAAACGGATCAATGACTAGTCCTATGTTTGCTTTCCTCCGAACAGCAGAGAGCTCGTGTTCATCAAAGTTCGAGGTGAATTTCGGGAGTTGCGCAAATTTTGTGGGCTTCTGGACAAAAGTAATTCAGTTTTCTCAACATTTTCTTTGAGTCTGTTAGCGCAAAGCCAGACGTCGAGACAGGCCAGGATGTTTTCCATCTGGGTGACGGCGTTTTCATTTTCTTTTGCGGCTGACTAGAATTTGGCCGTCGTCCGCATACTGCACAACGACTTCACCCTTTGCGAAGAGACTGAGATCGTTCTCGAAGGTGCAATAGGGTAGGGGCCTAATGACGATCTATAAAAAGCTCACATGTTGTTTGACAGCTTAGTAGGGAACTCGCTGTTCCTGAATTGGCTAGATGCTCTCATACTCTGAAAAAGTTTAAAGAGGTAGGTCGAAAACTAGGAATTATCGATGCTGCACAATCCTATTCCTTCAGAAATTTTGAATGGTCCATCACATAGTAAGCAATTTTGAGCGGACTATCACATCAAAGCATTTGATTACGTCAACTGAGCAGAGCACTGGCTTGCGTCCATGGTGGTTAGCACTTAGTTCGTGTCCGGATATACAAGCCAGCGCAGTTTCCGTGGAATGGCGTAGTCTGAAGCCGTGCTGGTTTCGAGAAAGCAGGTGATTTTTAGAGAGGTAGCCATAGAGCTGGTAATGGACTGCACTCTCCACAATTCTAGCTATGGAAGGGACAATAGAGATGGTGCCGAAATTAGAAGGATGCGTAGCCCAACATCGAAGGATGCGACTAACGAAGTTGAAGATGAAAAGGCAGTGGAAAGCTTCAAGGACTCAAGCGCTTCAGATCAGGATGCGCTGTAACTGACCAGGTGGAACAGCATGCCGCTGATCGCTTCAGCGGATCGTAGAGCAGCGTGCCGCCGATCGCTTCAGCGGATCGTAGAGCAGCGCGTCGCTGATAGCTTCAGTGGATCGTAGAGCAGTGTGCCGCTGATAGCTTCGGCGGATCGTAGAGCAGCGTGTCGCTGATCGCTTCAGCGGATCGCACGCATGCTGTCACCGTCAGCGGCATCCGTTGTTGAAACGCTTTTTCGAAACATGATCGTGATTAATTCATTGGATGTTATTGGTAAAATTTTAAAGGCACAGGCCAGACGCGTGGTAGGCGGCAGGGAAGAACTAGTTCATCACTCCGTGCCATTACTTCGCCACCCGTGCGTGGTTCTCGGGCAAACAATGACCCGGTCCGGCGCCTCAGCGACAAACCCCCTGTCCACGGCCTCGACCTCTGGCCTTTACCACCAGCTATCCATCCTTATCGCGCCGCGTATCAGTGACCATTCGTTTTATCGTCAGTGGGGCTCGAGCGCCACGGCCGACCAGGGCCCTGTTCCTCAGTAACTCACGACCCGAATTCCGCCCGCTGAGGTAGCCTCATAGATACACGCCAATGGGGAGAGCTTTTGTTTCATATGCGTGCATAAGTAGGATCAGGTGGTCCAACCCCATGCAGACATATAGCGCGCAATAATGACGTCCTTGAATATTATTCGATGTTAGGTGTATTTATCGCTGAGCAATGAGCATTTGCAAGGGATCTATAGCTGAATGCATCATTACCAATCACACTTTGCTATGCTATGATGCTATGATTATCGATTACACTTTGCTATGCGTTGCCTTGTCGGCGCCGTCGACTTACCTGTAAACAAACGCACTTGCTTCGCCCCTCGACCGAGTAGGGACTGGTCGTGACGTCAGAGGCAAGGAATGGGCTCGCAGTGCAAGGAAGGGGCTTTCACTGGTTTATGAAGAACAGAGCTCAAGTGAAAACCCGTCTGCCAGGGACGGGCTGAACTGGGCCTCGCGGCCTCCAGCCAGCCAGATGATGAATATTTGAGGCAATGGCCGGCAGCGTCGGTGGCACGGTCGCCATCCGTTCCCGTTATGTGACGTGTCGCACGTGGTGGCGGTGGTACGCAGCTCATCAGAGCAGGCCGGTCGTCCTGCTCTCAGAGAGCCGTCCGCTGGCGGGCGCCGGTGACTCACGCCTCAGGAGGTAGGTCCAGAGTCAGGGGTAGCAGCCACTCTTGGCGTCCACTGGGGCTGCGAATAACCGTGTGCCGTTGCTGCAGGTGCCGCACGATCACATCGCATACCGGTACGAAATCCTGGAGGTCATCGGCCGCGGGAGCTTCGGCCAGGTCATCCGTGCTCTTGATCACAAGACGAACACTCAGGTGGCCATCAAGATCATCAGGTACTGGCAGCCAGGGACGATACAAGCAGCAGATACTATATACTTCGATACTTCGGAACGAAAGCTTCCCTTTTTAGTTCAAGGTGCTTTTCAGATGGTGGTGTCTTTGCATATTTTTGTACCGTGCATGGCAACAACACAAATTATTCGCAGTATTTTTGGAAATTAAATTACAAATAATTGTGCCGAGGTGAAAATTGGACAATGTTACACACGCCGGCATCACTTTTGTGATGTTAGCGGCATCGCTTTGATGCCGTCCCTCAGAAACATTGTCTACTGATCCCACACCAGAAGGGATAAAGAATAATCTGGTTCTGGACGATAAGCTCGCAGGCCATGTGAGACTTTTATGAGTCAATAATTTAAACTGTTTCCATATAGACGAAGGGAATTTTCGACACTTGACGATATTGAGGCAAGTACCAGTTATGATGGAAAAGGACCACTTGTAGCTATTGGTATGTTTTGAAGTGTCAGAGACTTCTCCAGATAATGGAACCCCACCATTTAGTACACATAAGTATGCCCCGCAAGACATCATCGCTTGATTGCGTAATGTCAAATTTTCATGACGGCAGAGTCGCTGTCAGACCCACTGTATTGAGGAGGCAGTCTTTGTTTGACGCTCATATGACGTCATGCACCTCTGGGTGGCCCCAACTTCGGGGACGCGACATAGTTAACGCTGTTTCGCGCGCGGCTAGCTCAGAAACGCGAGGAAATTAATGTTTTCCAAGAGGCATGCCTGTGACGTGCAGGGAATGATCGTGAGAATGACTCCTTCAGTTCAAACCCACATACAAATATGGAACAGTCCCTTTCACTAGTACGGCTGGGCCCCGTGAAGTCAACTGACGCTTATTTTGTACGTATAATTACATATGCCAACAGGTAAGGCTTTCGTAAACCCATACATTCCACCACTAGTTCTAAGGCTCTCCTCAAATGATAAGGCCTTCTGAGGTTGATCATATGCCTTATCTCGAAACAACTTAGCAGTGACTTAAACGATTCGAACGCAAGTTATAGGTGGACATACTGACCTACCACCTAATCCTTGAATTCATCCTCTGGCACACGCAGGTACCGCATCAGGCGGGATGTGCCTGAGACAAAATGCACCTCCATAATATCACTAGCACCAAGGGTGTATCATTTTTACCCCGTCATTATGCAATGGATGTTTCGCCCCATCAATTCGACACGATTGATTGAGAAGCTTCTATTCCCGGACGAGCGGGATTAAGGAGGACATCCGCTGCAAACACTTAGCTGGAATTGGTTCGTCCTGTCGAATAAGCACTGGAATTGCTGTGGACACAAAATTTCACTTCAAGGTTAGGCACCAGAGGCGAGGACTAAAGGCAATGTCGGCTGTTCGGAAAGCAATGTAGCAATGATCCCATTTAAATTCATGAGCAGCTGACGAGCGCTCGTACCTCTCCGAGTGTTCTGCGCAGTCCTCGGTCTAGTTATACAAATGTATTACGTTTTCATCGTGTGTCCTGATTTCCTCCACAAACATTGGCCTCGCGCTTTTGATTCTGACCTGACCCACTGTCATGTTGTGTTAAGATGATAACATGTTTATACTATTTCTGAACCATGCACACTAATACAACAGCCGGATTTATTTTTGTGTACAAGCTTGTTAGTTAGTGTTAGCAAGTGTTGGCAAGTGTTAGCAAGCTTGCTCGTTAACTGGCGTAAGCGGGCACTGGGGTGGACAGTATAACACACTGCGACACCCACATTTTGTTGTTGTTTTGCCTGTCAGTTCAGTGAGAAAGCTTACGCAATTTGCGCAGCCTTGGTTTGTATGGATATTACTTGAAAGAATGTGGCTGGTTTCTTCGGGCTCTGCTAGCTTAGAGACCGCAGCCCAGAAAGGGAGGGCTAAAACTGACCCTGACCTGTACATGAGTTAGGCGCTGCTGCGGTCTGACCGGTAGCCCTCAATCATGCACTCATCCCTACTGACTACAGCAACCAGACTACGATCAATACAGGCTCCACCGCCGAGTTCCATCAGCACATGCCTCCAGCACTGCCCGTTAGCTGTCTCCTGCAACGGAGCCTCGCGCTCTCTCAGGAAGCTGAGAAGCCTTAGCGAGAATGGCCCATTTATCTACACGCGCGCGCTGAACTGTCGCCGGCTCTTCGGGTCAGCGCGCTCCCGGTATTTACACGTTGTCCACCAACAGACAATGCTCTGGAATAGATGGTGGCTAGGGGGCATGGCGGAGTAGCATTCCAGCGTTTACAACGTGGCGTCGGGTAATATAGTGGCAAGGTGACTTAATCAACACTTGCATAGGAACATAGTTTCAGCACGTGAGGCTTCTTAAGCTGGACAGTCATGCAATTCACGGACATCTTCATGACAGATCCGTCGCAAACAATCGCAAACGGTGTCAGTGTCTGCGAGAATAATTGTTTCGTTCCTCCTCAAGCAGAAAAAGACTGCTTATACATGTTGTGCTACTGCTGGATGGATCAAGCTAAAACCGGGGGATCAGTTCCAGTAGGAAAAAGTCCACAATGCGTCAATGGCCTGCTATGATTGTTTTACCCAGACTGACCTCTTTGTCGCCACTCACAGGAACACGAAGAGGTTCCACCAACAAGCTCTCATGGATGTAAAATCCTTGACCACCTCCGCCGTCGAGAC